CTGTTTCTTGCACCCATCCTGATTTATTTCCACTACCAGTACTTCCTACTGGTCCATCTCTGACACAGTGGTCTGCATAATGTATGTGTGGGAACACAAACAGTGGAGGAATTGTGTTGCCAATGGCATTAACCGCATATACAAATGTGACCAGTGAACCTCTCTCTGCTGTTGTCGTTGCCCCAACTTGTTTAATATAAGTTAAAGTAATAGTGTGGTAAGTTGTAACATCTGCATTATTGTTACAACTAACCCAGACTATTGCTGTTACAACTGACCCAGACTCCTATAGCCATGAACTAGCTAACATTGCATGCACAGGATGAGTCACATCATTTGAAACTTAGCCCTGATTGGAGAAATTGGAAGTGTTACAACTGACCGACGTTACAACTATCCCCGGTCTCCCCTATTTTATATATAATGAAAACGTAGCTAACAAATAAAGTTAACACAGTTTATAAAACAAGAAAACGTGTTTGCAATTTATCTACACAATAAAGAACTACAATAAAGAACTACAATAAAGAACCACCATTAGAAATAAAATAAAACTGTATTTAAGTAACATCACACACTTACCGGTTGTTTCTCTGAGTGAGTTTGCACCTGCGTTCAACATGCTACACAGAATCTTCGGCTGTGCTGAACGTGAATAAGGCAAGTGTGTACTTTGACCGCCTGCGTGATCTTTGGTACAAGGAACTGCTCCAACTATCATAAAATCACAGGCTATGATGTATAATTGTATTTGACAACGGTTGTTCAGCAACACATTTACACTGATTCAGCATGAGAAAGATAATGAAACACCTGATGAAACTTCACTAACACTAAAGTTTTGTTACAAATACAGATTTTCCACTGATGTTAAAAAACATAATAATGTAATAAAAACAATGTTGTTGTTTTTTTTTATTAAAGGCACAATAAAAATGTATGTGTGGCCATTTCATTTCAATGTCAAGCTCATGATGATGAATGTGCTTGTGTGTGACATGTTCACTGCATTCTTTTTTTGTGTGTTTTTGCTGTTGTTTCTATGTGTCATGGAAAATATTATTCAGTCATTACTGGTGTATGATCTGGTGTATGGTTTTGTCTGCTGTTAAACCCATGCAGTTCATCCACAATGACACAAAGTCACCATGCTGGAGGAATAATCAAAGACTCTTAGGTGCAGTGGCTGGATAGTGAAGCTGTAGGCCTGGTTTATCTGTTCTTTCATTTCTTTCATGGGCCAGTATGGATCAATTCCTCTAGCTCCCTGGACCCTTTTCACTCCTGGCTGCTACCTGTTGCTTGGATCAGGCAGTTTTGCCCCCGTGCCCCTGCCTTCTATACTTGTGCTGGCAAGGAGTGAATCTCCAGAACCTGTGGCCTCTGGTGGGTGCTCCTCTCATTACTGTTGTTTTGGACCTGGCTCCAATCAGGATGGGTCTGGTGAAGGCTGTTAGGGTGAGATTGTAGAATTGTCATTTGTACTTAGAAACATATAATCATTTATGCTTAGAGGTATATAATCATTTGTAGATTGATAGAATGTCTCATCCTAGGAGGTCTGCTAAAACCCTGTGTACCATGAAAAGGGGAGTACGTTCACTCCCTTTCCAGAGTGTTTTGGCATACCTCACATACCTCCTAGGGTCATGAGAGAGGTTGTATCTTCTCTTTCTGATATATGGTATGGCAAATACATCTGTATCTGTTTAAGTATAAGAGCCCTTTGTTTTAGGTGAACTGCTGGACTCGCGGTCACATTTTGACCCACATACACATACACACATAAACACACACACACACACACGCATACACACAGACAGGTATTCTCTGTTCACACACATGCCTGTTTAAGATTCCATATGTTAATGCAACTATGCATATTCATGTAACCACAATAAAAGGAGCGGGAAACTGGCTGAGAGTCCGATGGAGGTCAAGTGGGCGGGACAATGCTTGACCTCAGTCAAGCCTCCCTCGCGTGAGATCACACAAAGAGTTCTGCCTGGTGTCTTTTGTTTTGCTAGTTGCAGTTGGTTGTCTCTGTTGTTCCAGCAATAGGTTTGTGCCTAGACAAACCTAACAAAGGCCAAATCTATAAGGAACAAAACGTTTATCCTTAATGATTTCGTAACTTCCTATATATTGGGTTTTCTCTCTAAACCTGGATGTCTCCTGATCAGTCCAATGCATACTCTGAATTGCTGCTGTGTGACTTCTTGTATTTAATTCCATGTGGTCTTCAGGTCACAGTGGAGATTTAGCAACCTTTTTCTACTATAAATAGTACCTATTTTCTCAGCGTCCCTGACTCGCTCACCAATTGCTGTACGCATTTGGGCCTTTGGTCACCTGACTTCCCAGCTGTTACAGGTAGGAATCACATACATGTCGCTGCTGCCTCTGCCTGAATTGGCTACACTTTTGTTGATTGGTGTTAGTAATGTTTTTGTAGAGATCACCTGCGCATTATTTCCCTGAAGCCTTCCACCGATTGCTGGTATGTTATGTTTTTTTTTTTTGTGCCATTCATTTATTATTTTACTTGGTATTAAACAAGTGTGTTTATAGGTTGTAGCTGCAATTAGGTGACACCGTTTGATTGGTATGCAGCTTCGATTTGTTACGATCTCAGCCTTACTTCTATTGTCTTTTGCTGTAGATGCTAATCGTATGATGCATTGCAGGAAGCCTGGGCCTGATTGGGCGGAGGATAGCTTTATAGTGGGGCTGCTACTACTACTCTGGGCTACATTTACAGAAGTGCTGCTGCTTTGCCTTTTTGGATTCCTTTTTTTGCCTTGTGTCCATTTTTGCTTTTTTGTGTTCTTTTTGAAGGTTGCATTTATTTTGGTTTTGTACATTTGGTTTCCCAATATTTTCATTTGTCGATTATTTTTGCATTTTTAAAAACATTTTTTTGTCTGTGTCACACCACTGTAACACGGAGGCAGTTTTTCTAGTTGCAGATCACTATTGTGTTTGTGCAGTAAGGCTAACCACAGAGTGTGTTTTGGTTTTTGTTTGAATACATTAACACAGTTTGTTTCTTTTATTCAGAAGTAGGAGGCTTAAAGTGGAAGGGACTGGGTGCCTTGGTGGTGGGACCTTCTTTGTGCTGTGCTCATTTATGCACCCTTGGTTTTAGCTGCGTCATAATGTGAGTGTGTGTATGAAGGTGAGCTGCACGTATGAGTTGGTGATTTTTCTAGATCTGCCCTCATCTGGCATGCCAGTCACCCACTGGTAAGGCACAGCTCTGAATTTTACAGCACATGTACAACCGATTCATTGGCTCTTTCCATCAGGCAGGCTCCTTCACTTTCTGATTCGAAATCTTGTTCGAAAGACATTTTTAATCTCTGGCTTTCAAAGTGTAATATGTTGATTAACTTCTACAGCTCTTACGTTTAATTCAATTTAAATAATTTCAATTTAATTCAATCTATTTAGTGCCAAATCACCTTGAGTTGCCTCAATGTATTTGCATTATAAGGTAACGAGCCTACAATATTAGAGAGAAAATCCCAACAATCAGATAACTCCCAATGAGCAAGTACTTCATGGCTTTTAACCAGAGAAAACTACCAGCAGAACCAAGGGCAGCCATATGCTGCAACCAGTCATGAATGAGAAAAGAGAGACAAGACAAAAGACACACTGTGGAGCAGTAAGCCAGAAATTAATATTAACTAATGATTAAATGATGAGTAATGTATAAACTAGGGCTGGGTATCGATTTAATTCTGATTCACGAGGTCCCGATTCGATTAGATTTGAATCGAGGAAATTTTGCCCCAGACAGTCAGAAATATTATAATTCTGATCATTTATCAGTACATATCCATATTTTTATATCTATAAAAAAAAAGCTGACACTTGTGAGACTTTATCAGAGGTGTAAGTATCACAGCAGATGCCTTTGTGTCAAAGTAACTGATGACAGAAACAGAACAACATGAAGGAGATTTTCCTGGCCTGGCTTTTTATAGCAGATAACCTTAAAAATATTCTGCAGTGGAACAAAAACTGAAGGAAACCATGCTGCTGAAGTGAAACACAAACGTTAGAGAGGTTTAATTAGAGACACAGCTAAGCGTTTTGCAATTTGCAAGTTTTGCAAGTTAAAATTTCTTTATTATTGAACAGCAGAAATGAGGCTTTTTTGTCAGAATTCAGTTAAATAAAAAAGATAAACTGCAGCCAACAGTGCTGTAAACAACGGTAGACTGGCCGGTAATAAGCAAGTGAATAATGCAGAAAACAGAGATTTTTAGACGGAAAATTGTTCTTGAAGTACACTGAGCGAGAGAGAGAGAGCTGTGCAGGAAGTGTGATTTTTATCGTGGTGGAAGCAAAACAGCAAAGGGAGGGAATTCATGACGATGTTTATGTGAATAAGATGAATAAGACCAGGAGAGAAAGAAAGAAGTGAAACAATACAAAAATGGTCTAATACAATAAATAACAGCAAAGCAGAAAAGAAATCTTCTGATGTATTAATCATATATTTTAATGTATTAATCACATACTTTAATCATATCACTTTAGTAATAGTAATAGTACTTTCTCACTCCTGACACCTGTTGTATGCAATTGTATGTGGAATTTTATCACAAGTGGGCCCTAAGTTTTATTCCACCTTCACAGTGGACCCATTGTAGACTTGAAGATCTCAAGACATCCTGCTCTTTGGGAGGTGGCACCAAGCAGAAAACAAGGTCATAATTCTCTCTGTGAGGGAGGAGGTTTTAAGGATGGGACTGATGGTATAGCCCCCTGTGAGATCAGTTAACAAGAGTTGTGGAATGTCTTTGTCTGTCTCTGGATATAAACGGGCGGCCAAAATTCAGAGATTATCCTAGCGTTCTGACTGGGATGCTTGTCTCCACATTGCAATGTGTTTACATATATAAACACACACACACACACACACACACACATACATACATACATACATACATACATACATACATACATATATATATATATATATGACCAGTGACCATCACAGTGGCATATATCCAAGAAAGGGTCTCCAGTATGAAGAGTTGGACAGCACCAGG